TCTGTATCCACATTGAAAGAATGAAGTTTGGCTCTAACTCACATCATACACAAAAAGCAACAAAATCTATCAAGACCTAAGTATGAAAGCTAAAATATAAAATTCTTAGAAGCATAAATCTTCATAATCCTGGGAGCATCAGTAGTTTGTTAGATATGACACCAAAAGCACAAGTGATTAAAAAATAATAATTGGATTTGATCAAAATAAAACTTTTGTGTTTCAAATATATCACCAGAAAGTTAAAAGACAACCCACTGAATGGGAAAAATATTTTCAAATCATATATATATTATGAGACTGGCATCCAGAGTATGTAAAGAACTCTTACAATTCAACAATAAAAGTCACAACCCAGTGAACAAATGAGCAATGGATTTAAGAGACATTTCTCTATAGATAATATGTACACAAAAAAGATGCTCAATAGGAAAATTGAAATCAAATCACAGTGAGATACCATTTAAGACCTACTATGTTGACTATGATCAAAGAGAGCAATAATAATAAGAATTGTCAGTGACAGAGAGAAATTGGAGCATGTATACACTATGGGAATGTAAAATGGTATATCCACTTTGGAAGACAGTCTGGGAGTTCCTCAAAATGTTAAACATGGAAATACTGGTAATTATATCCCTAAAGAAATGAAAACATACATCTGCAGAAAACTAGTACAGAAAGTTTGTAACTACATTATTCATAATAGCCAAAAAAGTGGAAGCAACCCAAATGTCCACCATTGAATGGATAAATAAATGTGGTATATCCACATAATGGAATATTATCTGGTAATAAAAGGAAAGAAATACTGATACATGCTATAGCATAGCTGAACCTTGAGAACATTATGCTAAGTGAAAGAAGTCAATGCTAAAACACCACATTACATGATTTCATTTATACGAAATATCCACACTAGGTAAATCTATAGAAAAAGATAGTAGATTAGTGGTTCCAAGGGCTAAAGGAAGGAGGGAAGGGGTAATGACAGCTAATGGAGTTTTTTTTCTAGGTTGATGGAAATATATGAAAATTGATTAGGTGATGGTTATGCAACTCTGTGAATATACTAAAAAAATTGAATTATACAGTTTAAGTTGGTGGATTGTATATTATGTGAATTCAATCTCAATAAAGCTGTTATTAAGGAAATAATACCATGAGCTGAAGAAATAAGACAGATGGTAACAAGAATTTAAATATAACACAGCAAATATTATGTCTGTTTCACTTTGTTTTTAAGTGAACACAGTTCACTGTCTTCCATTACATAAATCAAATCAAAATCTCCTGCATGGGCAAGAGACCGGCCAGGAAAAATGATTGTGTGCTGAAAGAATTTAAATTCCTCAAAAGGGACTCAAAATTCTTAGTAACTGACTCGAATTAAAGGAATCAATAACATACTGCTAGCTGAACCAAATTCAACCCAGCTAGGAAATGCAGCACTTTTAAAAGTGGACTTCGAAAGGCTTTTAGAAGTAAACACAAGAGCACCTGTAGCAACAACTCCTAATCAAGGGCCAAACACGTTACTGTGAGCCTTCAGGATCCTCTGGGCGATGGCATCGCCTACCTTGTTGAACACGACTTTGTCATCAGCACAGCTTATGAAAAACTGGTTCTATCAGAAAAAATAGGACAATCGTGTAAGTTTTTTCTTAGTAGTATATATATAAGGAAATGTGATAAATAAAAAAATACATTGATATTTGAAAAAATTTTTTACACAGCAAACATGTTCTGACCACTGAAAACATGTCAGGAAAATAAATGCCAGAATAAGAGCACTGTATCTCACTCTGGGTCTCGTGCATTTCCAGGTCATGTCACTTATAACATCTTAGTCAAGTGGAAGTCTACACTATTATTTCACTAAGGGAATACCTTATAGAATGACATTCTCAGAATGCTTGGGAACATTCCAAATTTAATCAACAGCGAAATTACATTTGTTTAGATTCACACATTGTATAAATACTTATAATTAAAAATTATATATTGGCAAACATTCTATCTCCATGCTAGTTTTCTTTTTAACAGGGAAGATGGCAGAAGACTGGTCTAATTTCTCACTGTTTATCCATTATTTCCTAGTATGTGCTTTAACCTTTTCATGTTTGTTTGGATCTCTTATTATTATCCCTGAACTTCGATTTTAAGTAGCCTCAAATCTCTTTTGTATGTTGCACATACATGTATAAATATAGTGGACATTTCACATAAATGAAATTATGCAATATGTGGTCTTTTGTGCATGGTTATAATATACGTAACCGATAAAGTAGAAAAGAAATAATATTTTTATTAATTTTTTCTCTAAGTACTGCTGCTATTCATGTACCTATGAACACATGTTTTCTAGTAACTGTTTCAAAGAATTTTTACAGATACATGAATAATAGCAGTACTTAGAGAATCATGTATCTATGATCATTCTTCAAAACTGCTATTATTAATAGAAAACCAGGTATGACATTATCATAATCGTGTAAAAGATTTTGTTGCTGCATACAGGAATGTTAGAATGGGTATGAATATTATAAAATTATGTGTTCAAATGGAATAGATCATTACAATATAATACATCAGTTATTTATAAGGATAATCAGCACAAGTAATATTTCTAATTATCCAAGGTAAAGGATATATAAACAATAACTCCAATATGAGTATCACTTCCTTTGCAGCATTACCATTTTTATGATTATACAGGTTTTTATATGTCGGTGCATAATCTGTAAAATGCCTCCAGAAGACAAACTTACAAGAAGACAGTGCAGAAACTCATTTGAGAATGTGGTTCTCCTCAGGGCATCAAACAATCAAAATCTCAGTGGTAACCAAACCATGAATGTTTTTCTGAATTGATATTACAAAGAAGCTTAGCATTCTCAGCGTCTGTAAACACAGACTGTCCTTTACTTCTCCTTTTTGGAAGAATGGGTGAATGCTGAACATTTACATGGCTAGAGGAGTGTCAACCAAGTCTATGACCCAACCATGTGGGGGACATGGTACCTGGCAATTCTGTCCCATTTAATATTATGATCACATTAAAAAGAAATCTGATATTAATGCTACTAAAAGAGATAAAGCAAAATGATTCCGGATAATGGGGGAGCCAGCCTTAGCATCTTACATTACTATGGTATAATTGCCAAATAATTAATACTAATAGTATTACTAAACTCCAGACTTTATACAGAGTTCGCTATTTTTCACTAATATCCTATATCTATTGCACGATCCTATCTTGGATACCATATTGCATTGAACCTGCTTATATTTTTAATTAACTTCTTGGCTCCAGGCCCATGAAATAAACAAAGCTTCAATTCAGATAAATTGTCACTGCTTAGAGGGGGAGAGGGCCAGGACTCGGGGAAGAAAATGGACTAGAATGATTTTCTCCAGCTAATCCATCTCCCCTATACATTTTTATAATTCAATAGGAAAGAAAGACTGGAATATAGAAAGGATATGTGCTCTGATCTATTTTTCCATTATTGTGATTTTATTTTCCCAGGGTTTTCTGAGTGTTCTGAACTATTTTTATATCTGCTTTGAAGCATAATTTAAGTTCCCAAATTAAATTCAGTGTCCCCGGATTTTCTCACATGCTCTGAACACAAACTCTGGGATCTGAAAAAGCTTTATCATGAATAGTAGTACACACAGGATTAAGAAGGTGGTACCTACCTTTAATGTTCTCACATTCTTCCCTCCTCCTCCCTCCTCCCTCCTCCTCCTCCCTCCTCCCTCCCTCCCTCCCTCCTCCCTCCTCCCTCCCTTCCTTCCTTCTTCCTTCTTCCTCCTTCTTCTTCCTTCCTTCCTTCTTCCTTCCCTCCT